CAGAAGAGATGCGTCCTAGTTGAGGGCGTGGCACTTGGCTGCCTGCTCCTCTGTGCTTTGTGGGAAAGAAAGGGAGAGAGAAGAGGTGGAAAACACATTCCCTGTGGTCTTGGTTGACTCAGCTCATGGTGATTCTCACTTTCATTCATTCAGCAAATATCTGAGTGCCTCCTCTAGGCCAGGCAAGTGGCGTGGGGTACGCTGGTGAAGCCCACCCCAAGGTCTCTGTCTCAGAAACGCCTGCATTCTTTGGCGGGGGGCGTCGGGGGAGGGGAGATGCAAGGCTCTCTGGGCTCCCAGAGGCAGGCAGGTGTCCCTGTTCAGCAGTGTGTCCTCAGGGGCCAGCCTGGAACCTGATATCTAATGTTGCACAATAATTATTGGAACAACCTGCTGCGTAAGTGTTTCAGAAGTGCTAGCTGGTAAGAAGGAAGGTGGAGAAAGCCAAGCAGTTTCTCTGCTCTGAGAGATCTGTTGGGTTGATTTGTTCTGCAGTTGATTTTTAGTTACAACATTCTCAGCCACCGAGGAGGGAGCATACTGGGTTCACTCTGGCAAGGCTGCTTTTTCCTTATCGCCAAAGAACTTGGCATCTGATGTGCAAGGTCCTTCCTTCACATCACAACAGTGGCAGGTGGTGTTGCATGTAAGCGTACTGGTGGCTTGGCTCAAACTTTGCAGTCAGAAGATACTTTGGAAGGGCAAGTTTAAAGGGGAGAGTTGTCTTTCCCCACGCTCCTGCCAAACACACGTGCTGAGCTTGGCGTTCAAGCAGCCACCCTGACCCCGCTGAAATGGTTCTCAGGTCCTTAAGCTTCCCCGGCTTTCGGTACCCACTTCGATTCTGCAGCTCTGGCTTCTGTTCTGCGTGCATTTCCTCATTGGTTTGGTAGTGCAGAGGGGCCGGTGACAATATCAAAGAACTGAAACTGTTCCCACTTGTAAAACAGAGCAAGACAGAGTTGGATGCTGTGTATGTCAGAGTGTGGACGTGGTGGTCTGGCCTTGGAAAATGCTGCTGCAGGGCCCGAGGGGCACTGGAGCCTGTCCCAAGGATGGAGAGTCGAAAGGGGAAGGCCAAGTGCTGGGGTCTTAATGCCCTTCCTGGGGGTTCCTATGGCCCCTGGGAGCCAGCACTGATCCTCAGGACATCATATGTTTGAGCTCCGATAATGGCAGCAGACAGGCCTCGGGAGGAGGAAGAACAGATAGAAAAGGGCGGAGAGAATTGAAAATGGAAGTAGGTTGCAGGAGGAGCAGGCTGTGTACCAGGAAAGGTGGTGGGCTTTCCGGCCAAGCAGAGAACAAAGATTTGACCAGGAAGCGGGCCTGAGCTCTGATCAGGAAGCTGGGAGCTGACAGCGGTGGGGGCGTGTGCAGACAGGATTCGCTTGCTCGTCTGGCTGAACAGGCAGCCGGCCCCGGGGAAGCTCGCCGGTCCTTTCCGCCTTGGGAATGGCCAAGCAGCTGGGAGGGAAACGCACAAGCTCAGGAAGCTTCCTGAAGCAGAATGCAGGGGCTGAACCCGAGCTCTGGCAGCCTGCCGGAGTGCCTGCTGCTGGAAGCCTGGCGGGAGCACTCGCCTTCAGAGGAGTCTGCCATCCTGATTCTGACATCACCGCGCTGTCTCAGTCAAGGGCGCTGAAGCGGAATAAGCAGCCGCATGTCCAGGGTGTGCAGAACCCTGAAAACCAGGGCGCTTCCTCGCCTCTCTCGTCTGGGTTTGGAGTCGAGGTTTTAAGCAACAGCTCACGCTGAAGTTTAATGGAGCTCAACATTTTAAGAATAAACTAATATTTTAGAAACATGTGGGTTTTGTTTGTGTCCCTCAAGTTGGGTTATTTTGTAGCATTTAAAATGTAATTCTTGCAAGTTAATTTCCCTTTTTTGTTCCTTTCCATCTGGCTAGAAAAAAAAAATTGTTTCCTGCTCTGATGGCACCCGTGGAGATGACTGGTTAAATAACGCGATTAAAAATATTTGAGTACTATGGGATCTGCCAAGAATTGTGTGCTCACACACTTGGGACACTTTGAGCCTTTTCTTGTATGAAAATGTGCCGTCTTCCACCTCCCACCCTTTGCTTGGGTCGGATTGATCAAGGTCGTCCTCTCTGCCTTCCTCTGAGTGAGCCACAGCTCAGGCCTCCTGCACCCCTGCCCACCGTGGAGTCCTCATTGAACCCTAACATCTCACCAGGAATAAGCCCAAACCATTAGGGAAAACTCATTTCTCCTTCAGAGGCTTCACTGGGGAGCCACGCCCCCTGGCTGGCTTTGCTGCTGACGTCAGGCGTGGCATCCTTCAGCCACGGAGACTCCCTCTGTACCTCCAGCAGAGGGCCTCGGTCCTGCGCGGGACACAGCACAGCACCCAAACAGGAGCTGCGTTTCCCTGCCCCTCGTTAATCTCTTGAGGCCGCCGAGGCCGTTCCCCTCAGGCACCGGACTTCTTCACCTGGGTCAACGGTTTTGCTTTCCAATTTTGAGTCAGTTCCTAGAGTATCTCATTACCCGTCATCACTGGAACACACAGAATTTATTTTAAATAGATATAAAGTTCATGGAAAGTGAGATTAAATTTTAAGTGTTTATTTTGGTGCCAAAAATTTAAAAGCCACACATATGAAGGATCTTCAAAAAAATAATGAAATGAATATTATGAAACAATTGCATTGATTTTCATCTTTTTTGCACCAAGGTAAATGTTTTAATCTCATTTTCCATGAGCTTTTTGAAGTGCCTGTACACACATTTATACACACACACACACACACGCATTCAGTAATTTGAACACTAGTGGCACTAAATATGCACCTGAGCTCTTGAGTTCACATTCTGCTCACCTGGAGTTACATTTCTGTTCTATGGCTTCCACTTCTTATGCCCAGTAAGAAAGCAGAAAATGATAGGAAGCTCCCAGCCCGCTCTGTACCAGGCTTGTGAACCCGAGCAAGCCCCTTCACTGCTGTGCCATCATGGACTGAATTGTGTTGGGTCATTTTCACCTAGAAAGTTCTGTGCTTCTGTTACCATGTAAGTAGCCCATCTGCACGGAAGGCACAGGAAACATCCAAGCAACCCATTCCCACGTGGGGTCTTCCTGAGTTTCGGTGTTTAGATCTGGCCCTGCCATGCAAGGGTAATTTCCACCATGGGACAGCAGCCCTTTCTTCCAGGGTCTCCAATTCACACTGCCTCAGTCACACCCTTTGTTCACACATTCAAAATGCCATTCCTTTTGCACATGGGAAGAGCTTAATCAGTGATCCTGGAATAAAATTAGACCTCCCTGTCCATACCCACCCCTTTTTTAGCTGTAGCTTAAGAGAACCGAGCTTCAGTCCAAAGCAAATGTACTTTGTTGCCTGTGAACACAGATCCCATAAAAACAAATGAAGGAGAACGTGGAGTGAATTGCATGTCCCCAGCCTGTTCTCTAATCTGTATTCATGTCTGTGTTAGATTTCCTTCAGTGCTGCTTGGCGTCCTGAGCACAAGCTTCTCTTTTTACGCCACCATAAAGCTTCTGCTCTGATATCATCTGCTACGTGTGGGTGAGAGGAATATGGAGTATTTATGTACCTGTGCCAATAAAGCATTCCCTCAAAGCTCTGAGGCTGGTCTTGTGGAAGAGAACCCTGGAGATGTCAGGCAGGCATAAGATACAAATTAATAGCCCTCATGAGTGCTTGTAACTTAGAGAACACACATTTTGATTTAATACCTTTGTATGATTTAAAATGTCATCCAAGAAGACAGCTTAATACCTAGAGCACCTGCTGCAGCCCACAGAGCCTGGCTGACAGGTCTATACCGGCTGACCTGCTCTGTGGCTTTTTGGAAAGATGAGATGTGTCCTAATGAGCAGGTTATAAATATCCCTGAGTTATGTCATAGGAGGTGGCAGCACTCAATGTAAAGGGACTGGCTGGGAGGTGTTCCCGGCTGAACAGACCAAGCACAGCTTTCAGTGAGAACAATATGTGCCTCTGTGTGTGTGTGTGTGTGTGTGTGTGTGTGTGTGTGTGTGATATTATTTATTTCATTTGAAAGATGGAGCAAGAGAAACCAGGACACAACAACCAGGCACGGACCAAGTTGAAGCCAGAAACTCGATCCAGATTCCCACATGAATGGCAGGGTCACCTGCTGCCTCCCAGGATGTGCATTAGTGGGAAGCCAGAATCAGAAGCAGATTTGAACCCAGGCATTCTGATATGGGATGAAGGTGTCCCAGGTGACATCTTGGCCACTATGCTGAAAGGCCTGCCCCAGGCCCGGATATGTTGACCGGTTGTTATTAAAGAAGTACTCATCCCCTAATGAAATGTGTCAGCAAACATGTCCCTGTGGGGTGTGCTGGGGATGAGATGAGATGTGGTCCCACTCAGGAGTCCCCAGGTCCCAGCTGTCACACCTGTGCTCTCGGGGGGACTTTGATCCTTCGCATGTTTTTGTCAGCGCAGGGCTGGGAGGGGAGCTGGCTTGATGGATTTACTGGCCAGTGACTTCCATTTGGAAAGACCCAGAATGGTCGCTCAGTTTTCCTCCCTCTTATCTTTGTCCCGCCCATAAAAGTTGCTACAAGCAGCCTCTGTCCTCATGGCTGGTGATGCCTGGGTCTCCGTGCCGGTGTCGCCACTCGCCTTGTGAACGGAAATGCAGCTTTGCAGGCCACTCGGGCAGCGCTGCTGTAAGCTTGAAGACACAGCCATCTTGCTTTTCTCTCCTCTTTCTTCTGTTTCTTAGTGAACTTAGAACTGATTTTCGGGTTTTGTTTTCTTGAGAAGATGTGATTGGGGTTAGGGAGTACAAAAGAGCATCAATCTTAGATCACAGTTTTCAGAGTTGACCAAAGATGGATGCATGTGCGGGACAATAGCTTAAAAACTAGCCAGCATCCTTCATGTAGACAAAAATGCATTAAAAGACGTGTATAAAATATGTGATGTTAACACAGTCCAGATGGAAACCCTGTCAAATTCTTTGTGCACACAGGAACTTGACGAGAGGAGTCGGGAGATTCAGAGAGATCCTCAGAGCAGTCGAAACAAGGACCACTCAAAACCTGCGAATGGTGAGTGTGTCCCATACCCAGCTGGGGCAGCAGGGCACCTGTTTCATGTGCGTGTCTTTACATTTAACATATATGTAAATGTATGTACACACACATAGCTATTCACCCATTTAAAGTATACAATTCCATGATTTCCAGTATATTCAAAGAGTTGTTCAGCTATCACTAATATTTAGCCTTTGAATATTTTTAGCATAAATCAAAGAAATCTTATACTCATTCATAGTTAGTTCCCAATGTCTCCTTCCCTCAGCTCCTCGAAACCACTCATTTATGTTCTGTCTTAATGGATTTGCCTATTTTGGACATTTTGCATTAGGGGAATCTTGTAACATGTGGTCTTTTATGCCTGGCTTCCTTGCTTTCAAGAGTCCTTCGTGTTACAGCACATATCAGTGTTCTTTCTTTCCAGATAATACTCCTTTGTGTAAATACACCGCATTTACGTGTGTATTTGTCAGCTAAGTCATTTGTTTCCACTTGGTTGTTCAGTGACACGCTCTGAACCCTCACATGCAAGTTTTTCTCTCTACTTACGTGTTCTTTTCTCTTGGGTCTATACCTAGGATTGCAATCACTGGGTCCTATGGCAACTCTATGTTACCATTCTGGGAAGCTGCCATACTGTTTCCCAAAGGCAGCAGACGTGCTGAGGGTCCTGATTTCTCCACCCCCTCCCCAAAATATGCCGTTGTCTTAGCTGCAGCCATAGTCGTGGGTGTGCCGTGCTACGTCACTTGCATTTTCCCGAGGACCAGTGATGTGCGCATCTTGTTCTGTGCCTGTTGGCAGTGCTCTCCTGGGACATAAATGGTATCCTGAAAGGTAGACAGAACATAGACCCTCGGGATGCCAGTGTGTGTTGAAGCGGGGGTTGTGTTCTTATGATTCATACAAAAACTCAGAGCAAGGCAGGTGTTAGATCCTGGAGGGTAATACTGTTTGGGTATTAAGCTTAGAAGAGAAATATAAAAGATGGTTAAGTTAGCTGGTTGATCAGTAACTTAGCTCTCCTGTTGACTTGAATGTTCTGACTTCCTTTTTAATGCTTTCACTTTCCTGGAGCATTCATTAATTGTACATTTGCAGGTTGCCCCGTGGAGCCGTAGCTGTCGGATGTTTAGGTGAAGGCCTGAGGCTTACTAGAACCTGCACAGATGCCACGTGTCATATTTGATGTGGCAGCGCCATATAAGAAAGCCATTTCTTCTGTCTTTTGTCATCCATGCTGCTTGTCTCCCTTTTATTATGAATCCCATAAGTCCTATGAGAAAACATTCATTTGGACAAGACTAAGAGATTCTTGTCATGAGAAAGGAAGCTATAGCTTTGGTGGACATCTCCAGAGTTTTAGGACATAACTGTATAACTCGTGGGGCCAGGGCTGGACCAGGGCTGAGGCTGGGAGCTGGGGACTCACCCAGGTCTCCCACATCAGTGCAGGAACCCAGTTATGGAAGCCGTGACTGCTTCCTCCCAGGATCTGCGTTGGCAAGAAGCTGGAGTCAGGAGCTGGAGCCAGGAGTCAACCCCAGGTCCCCTGCGAGGCTAAAGGCCTGCTCCCTTAGGGTCCTCTAAGGGGAAACAGCCTGCGACAGTATGCGTTCAAGTTGTTGCCGGGCTTTTCTCTCAAACTGACCTCCTGCCAGCATTGCACAGCACTTCTCAGCTGGTCAGTATGAACAGCTTCTTCCAAGCTTGGAAGCACAGTGAAAGAAACTGATTAAATTGCCAAGTGTTTCATAACCATTTTAAAAGCAAATTGAAAAGGCCAGCCTCCAAAATCGTTTAAATACAGCGCATTTGTTCATTGCCCTCTCTCAAGAGGATCTATTTTATTAAGGAAATGCATGGTTTCCCCATGGAGAGGTCTGAGCACACCGAATCGCTGCGGGAGCCTGCCTGGGGCTCGCCTCCATGATATTTGCATGAATTATAGAACATCTTCTATTGGCTGGGGGTTTGGATTTTCAGATCAATGTATTGTGGCTTTTAGAAACCCTGTGAGGTGCAGTTGTGAAGCAGATATGTTAGGAAGGAGAGGGGAGGGGAGGAGTCTCCTTAGGATTTTTCTTTTTTTCAGAGAATGTAGGTGAAGAGGACTCCAGAGAGCACTGAGGAGGCAGGAGCTGCCTGGACAGCTGGCTGTGAGCCGGCTGGTCAGTGCACACGGGGCACTTCCTATCTAGGTCACTCACACCTGTGGTCTCGCTGATGACTATCAAGTGACTAAAGTTAACTGTTTCTGATGTTTTGAGTACATCACAGGAACTTTGGACAAATTTACATCCCTGTGTCTGGCCCCAGAAATTCCAGGGGGACGGCCTGGGGCAGGGTCTGAAGTGCTGTCTGAGGTCTCCACAGATGGTTCTTTGCCCACCCTCGTTGAGAAGCGCACCTGGGGTCTCGCTCACTGGTGCCTTGGTTTTGGACATCAGAAAGCTGCTCTGAGGCACTCAGGAGACAGTTTTTCCCCAGCCTTCATGACTGTAGATTCTTTTTAGGTTAGCTGATAGTAGCTAATGTATGATATTCTTCCGAGATGGAAAAGTCCCTTTGTAAATTTTGTCTGGTGCAAGGCTGTAGCAGAAAAGGATTTGGAAATACATTTCCAGAACTTCTACTCTTAGATATATACCCCAAATTGCTGAAAGTAGGCATTCAAGCAACAATATGCAGGGAGTATTGTAGCAGCGCTGTTTACAGTAGCTGAATAATTCTGTGAACTGATGAGTGCATGACAAAGTGTGGTATTGTCAATGTGAAGGGATTTGCCATACAGCCACAAAAAGGAGAGAGAGCATAAACTTTCTATTAAGTGAAGGAAACCAGTGGGAAAGATGCGTATTGTACACTTCCCTTGCTGTGAAATTCCAAAATAGGAAAACCCATGGAGGCAGCAAGTCCACAAGTTGTTCCCAGGACCTGGGAGGAAGGGACTGGGGAGTGACAGCTTAAAGGGTGGGGTTTCCTCTTGCGGTCATGGAAACATTCTGGAAGCTGTTGGTGGTGATGGCTGTGCCAAATGGTGAATGGACTAAATGCCATTGGACTGTGCCCTTTAAAAGGGTTTAACATGGTGAATTCCACCAAAAGGGTTTTTTTTTTTTAACACACACACTGCACTTAACGATGAGTGTGTCCATGAACACCCAGGACGGACCACAGGCTCGCTTCCTCCCCTTGACTCCAAGTTTGATAGCCGTTGATAATGTTTAAGCAATCAAACGACAAGCTACACAGAGACTGAGCGAGCTCGTTGGCAGCTGTGTTGCCCTCCCTTTCTGAGCCTCGTCTGATCCTCAGCAGACAGGGCCGGGTGTCCTCCCCAGCCCCAGGTGTGGAGGAAGTGATGCCTGATGCGCAATCACACCAGAGTCCCTTTTAAAGCCCCACGCCCACCCCTGGAAGCCGACCCCCGAGGGAAAACGGCACCTGGCGTGAGCTGTCCAGCAGCGCTCAAGCAAGTAACAAGGAACAGAAATGAAGCTTCACGATTCGGAGTGCCTCTATGCCAGCTAAAGCCAGAAAATGTACTTTCTGGTGTTCGTTAGTTTTTCCTTGAAGATTTATTTCTCAGCTACAGTGAGTGGAAGTTATTTTTGCCCGTTGAAGTTTCCAGCAGAAGTCATTAGCTTATATAGCTGCAATGAGATCAAAATGAAACTATAATGGAAGGTTTAAGAAAACAGCTCAGAAATTGTTTAGGTCCTGAAAATCGTGTTCTTATGAGATCTTTACAGATGGCTCAGTTGGGGATGATCAGAGTGCATTTAATTCCCCATTTCTATAGACATTGAAAGCCAGTGGGTCTTGCCTGGGAGTAATCAAGAAAATTTGCCTCCACCCAGTGCTTATCAGAAGCCACCAAGCTAGTGATTTGGTTGCATTTCATTTTCCTTGTGGTGTTGTAAGAGATTGCCCATGGAGGAGAGTCTAGCAGCATTCTCTTCTGGAACATGCTGATTTTAAGAAAGCCTCCATCTCGGGGAAGATCAGCACTCTTTGTCTACATGTTGCAGAGCCTGGGAAAGCCTGGTGGAACCTCTGCTGGGTGCCGTTGCTATCCCTGACCTGTCCTGGGCAGCCTGAACTGCCCAGGGCTGCGTATGTCTCTGGGGGGATTTTTTTTTTTTTTTAACTTCTGTTCTTTCTCCCTGGAAGAGGATGAGCTAAATGAACTCACATCAGTGAGTCAATCAATAAAATCTTTCCTAGTACACCCCCGCCCCATGCAGTCTACACGTACTGCTCCAGGCGGTGGGGTTACCGAGCGCTTGGGGAAGCCTGGCAGTCTGCATCTGATCCAGGAGCTCAAGAGCTGGAGGCTTCTGGGTTCTCCCAGCGAGGAAGGAGGTACCCATCCAGCTCTGGGACAAGATCTTTCTCAAGCCGGCGCCACGGCTCACTAGGCTAATCCTACACCTATGGTGCCGGCACCCGGGTTCTAGTCCCGGTCGGGGCGCCAGATTCTGTCCTGGTTGCTCCTCTTCTAGTCCAGCTCTCTGCTGTGGCCTGCAAGGGCAGTGGAGGATGGCCCAAGTGCTTGGGCCCTGCACCCCATGGGAGACCAGGAGAAGCACCTGGCTCCTGGCTTCAGATCGGCGCAGCGCCGGCCGTGGCAGCCATTTTGGGGGTGAAACAACAGAAGGAAGACCTTTCTCCCTCCCTCCCTCCCTCTCTCTCTCTCTCTCTCACTGTCTAACTCTGCCTGTCCCCCCCAAAAAAAAAATCTTTCTCAGTCAGGAGCCGTAGTCCCACCTTTGCGCTTCTCTCCTGCACGAAGCCGGGGATGCACTGAGAACAGGACACTCAGGTGCTGAGTCCCCAGGTGGGATCGTGCGGGGCTGACCCTTGGTGCTTCTGGCAAGGAGGACACGGGAAAGAGCTACAGCGGCCATCTATTGTCAGTGAAGAGATTCTTCAGGGATGGCCTGAGCTTAGCTGAGTACTGGCTTTTGCCAGGTTTGAGCTGGAGCAGGCATCAGCTAGGAGGTTATGAAAATACCTGGGGGCCAGCACTGTGACATGGCGGGTAAAGCCACCACCTGCAGTGCTGGCATCCCATATGGGTACTGGTTCAAGTCCTGGCTGCTCCGTTTCTAATCCAGTTCCCTGCTAATGTGCCTGGAGAGCAGCAGAAGATGGCTCAAGTCCTTGGGCACCTGCCACCCATGTGGGAGACCCAGCAGAATCTCCTGGCTCCTGGCTTCAGCTGGGCCCAGCTCTACCCTGGCCAATGCAGCCAGTTAGAGAATGAACCAGCAAATGGAAGACCCCTCTCCCTCCCTCTCTCTCTGTCTCTGCCTCTGCCTCTCTGTAACTCTGACTTTCAAGTAAAACAGGTAAATCTTTAAAAAAACAAAATGAAATAAAATAAAAATCTCTGCAGGTCACCTGGAATTCCCAAGAGCTCTTGGGAAAGGGTTTAGCTTAAAATTCAGTTGTTTCGGATGGGAAACGTGTTCCAGAGTATAACAGCGGCATAGAAAGTACAGGAACCTTCGTTAAAAAAAAAAAAAAAAAAAAAAAGTTTGGGCATCTTAATGCATCATTTTATTTTTGTCATAAACTGGTATAATTGTCCTCCCAGAAGTAAACTTTCTAATTACGAGTCTTGGAATAGTACCTCGCATAAAATGATGGCCGAGACACATTTGTCAAACGGATGCCCAAAGGACACGAGAGAGATTCACTGCTGCGCTGCTCCCTCTCTTGCAGACGATAGCCAGGCAGCTGGCCGAGATCCTGCTGCGGGGCATGTGTGAGCAGAGCTACTGGAACCCCCTGGAGAGCCCGCCCTGCCAGTCGCCTCTGGACGACCCTCTCCGGAAAGGAGCCAACACGAAAACCTACACCCTCACCCGCAGAGCCCGCGTCTACGCAGGAGAGAAGTATGGGGGTTGATGTCCTGACTTGTAGGTTAGGGCACGGGAACACGGGGCAGAGGTCCCACGTGCAGGGCAGTAGGGAAACCTCATGGCTCATGGAGCAGGTGTCTGCGTGCTGCGGGGGACATTTGAAGTGGGAGCATGGCCCTCTCGGCCAGCGCTGCTGGGGTTGGGGATTCTCAGAACCCCGGCACCTCGCAGCACTCAGGGCAGAGCTGTTTGTAGGCCAGAGCTCACGTTTTTTCTTTTCTTTAGCAGTGGCTGATCCTTTTATTTACAATCTTGTTCTAGACGGAATTGGACGTAAGGGGGAGATTGAAGTAATTTGCAAGTGATTGGAAATATCTCTTTAGAACTTGTTTATCCTTGTAGGATTTGAGTTATGACGGGGACCCAGAGCCTCTACACTCTCAGTCTCAGTCGGGGCGGGAGAGGGGAAGAGGAGGAGACAGGAGGAGAGAGAGGAGAAGGGCTGGGAGCGCGGTGGCTGACTCTCCCCGACTTCTGCCATCGGAGTGCCTGTGCCTGCAGGGACAGGCGTGCTGGCTCCTCCAGATCCCTAGTTAGGCAGAGGAGAGTGTGCCTGCGTGAGCGCAGAGAACCTCTTTGGTGTTACTGAGTTGTACAAATGGCTGCAAGACCCAGGCTGCTGCTTCGGAAGTCCCAGGGAAGGCACCGATGGAGACGGGGCCCCAGGGAACGCCACACTGACGTCCCAGACAAATGTGGCGACCTCCAGGGGGACGGCTGCCTCCGCATTGTCTTGAGCCGACCCCGACGTCTGTCCCCCTCACCGCTTCTGCTTCCGTTGCGGATTTAGACGAGGAAGCAAATCCTTAGCTTTCCCTGGGCTTTATTTTAGCTTCGTGTGCACACCCCTCTTCCACGCCCTGTTGAACCAGGAGTTTGTGTCATCCCCAGCCTGTGTTTACTCCTTGGTCCTTCTCTGAATTCCTAAGACATCTGTTCCAGCGATTCCCAAACTCGCACTGTAAAAAGCTGACCTCCCATTGCGAACTGTGGAGACGTGGGTTTGGAATTCACTGTTTCAGTGACACTTAGGTTTTCAAAAATAGACTCTAGATTTGTTTTCCTGTTTTAGATCCTTCCTAATAACCAAGAGGCCAGGAACATTAAGGAGCCCATCTCTCATTCCCTCCCCAGTGCCCGGGACGTTAGGGGGGTGTTGTTGGGGTCAGTGCTGCTGTGAGCCTTCCTGCGCGTGTTTCTTCACACATTGCAGTCAGCTGTGCGAGGCTGCTGCAGGAAGCTCATGGGAAAATTGAATTAGAAGTTAAATTTATTTGGGTGCAAAAAACCCAATGTGAAACCTTTGAATAGTTTTTTCATAATATACACTTTCCATGAACTTTTTGAAAGGCCCTCATATTTCTCCTTTCATTTTATTCCTCCCTGGTAAGACATGTCTGAGGTGGCTTAGAAAATGAAATTCATCTAGATGAGATAATTAGCAGAAAGCCAAGCAGGAGATTAAAAACCACTGCCGTGCCAGAGAGTGGATGATGAAAAGATGTCTTGAATGCTGGTGCATGCCAGGCTAAACTCCTTTGCAGGCACAGAAGGTGAAAATAATCCTCATGAAATACTCCGTGTGGGTCTGAGCCCCCGTAGCCGGTGCAGCAGCTTTTGGTAAGACAGAAAGATGAGGGTTGTTGGAGGCAAGCTGACTTCCCGCTGGCAGCAGAGAAGCCGCATGAACAGCCAGCTGCACCGCCAGTGGTGCACCAGCCCCCCTCCGAGTCGTCCTGTGGGGCCTGCCCTCTTGCCAGGAGCGGCAAGCCCTTGTGCAAGCTGCCATGCCCTGTGGAGTCACCGGGTCCACCCCACAAGCACAGCTCAGTGGGCCTGGGTGCATCCGCTGAAAGTCCCTTCTTGCTCTGTCATGAGGGGCACTTTTGCCCCACATGCATTGACACGACAGGGAAAGTGGTGGGAGGGCCTAGGTGGTCCTCGGAGTAGACCAGCTAGTCTCCAGTCATCACGAGGCCCCCTTGATGTTTAGTTGAAATTCCTTCCCCTTCCACATCCTTCCGCGCGGACGGTGATTCTGTCTCTGCATGGGTAGCAGACGTGTGACTGCAGCTGCGGTCTGGCCGTGGGCCAGAGGCTGCTTTTCTCCAGGAATTTCCCCAGTGCCCATCCAGGCACAGTCAAGCGACAAAAGGAGCCATCCCTAGACCATTGGGTTGACGTTGTCGTCATTGACAAACCGACCTTTGTGAGCTGGCCGTGCCCAAGGACTTGTGTGCACAGAGCAAAGCTGCTTCCACTCCCAGGGGTGCCACTGGCCTTTAGACGTCCATCTCAGCACTGGGCGCGCAGTGGCCTCAGATGACAGAAATAAAAGAGTTGGCTTCTTTGGCGTAATTGTTTCTGTCATATACAACCTATCTGGAGAATACTCTAAGAAAGCCATTATCAGAGCGCCCTGGCAAACCTTGATTGCTATTTATACATGAGAATTCTCACCCTCGTTCCCTGCGGCTTCTGTAGGATCACGTCATGAGTTGGCAAATGCATCCCAAGTCAGGAAGTGAGCAGCTGGCTGCAAGGCAGCCCTGCGTGCACACGTGGCTGGGATGAGCAGGCAGCCCTCCCAGCCTTAGCCCAGCAGCCCGGCCACCACCTCGTTGCTAGCTGCCAGCCCTGGGGAGCTCGTCCTCACCGCCTGCCGCTCCCATTGATCTCCCAGCTTGCCCTGCAGCCTCAGACCTCAAAGAGAAGAGCGTCAGGAAAGGAAGCCCAGCCTTGTTGAACATCTCCCACTGGGCTCCCACCGCGCTGAGCAAGCAGGGGGGCGGAGCGGCCAGAGAGGAGTCTAGAGAATTCAGAACCATGACGAGGAGGCATGCCAGTGTGGTTCTTCAGGCACGGCTCTTAAAACCAGCCCTTCTGGGGCTGGTGTTGTGGTGTAGTGAGTTAAACCATCGCCTGAGATGTCAGCATCCCACATGGATTCTTGTACGAGTCCTGGCTGCTTCACTTCCAATCCAGCTCCCTGCTGATGCACCTGGGAAGGCAGCAGAGGACGGCCCAAGTGCTTGGGCCCCTGCACCCATATGGGAGATTCAGAAGATATTCCTGGCTTGGGGAGTGAAACAATGGATGGTAGATGGATTGATCGCTCTCTCTCTCCCTCCCTCTTTCCCTCCCTTTCTCCCCCTCTCCCTCTCCTTTTTCTTTTCCCTCTCCCTCTCTCTGTAGCTTCAATTTTCAAGTAAATAAATAAATCTTAAAAAAAAAAAAAAAAAACAGCCCTCTCCCGGTACCGCCCCCACCTCTCCCCGCCAGCCCTGGGAGCTTTGCAGTGCTCCTGGGCACCCATCTCCCCTCCCACAATAGGGAGGGGGAGAGGAAGTGGAATTAGAATTAGTTAATGTGCCACTTGTTAGCAACACTGGTAAAAATAACACAACCTAGCATTTAAGCAGGCCGATGGCTCAAATGGAATTTGGAGATTATCCATGGGCTGAATTGGCTGGTGTTAAGTCACAATTAGCGTGGGCTCTCTGCCTTTTCAATTAGTCCGGACAATGCAGAACTGGCTGGCCATGAAAGAGTAATGAAGGTTACTGCTTTATTTGCCAGGTCCAATTGCATGGAAGCACAAGCCAGGATATCAGGAAATGATTGCTGGATACACACAGACACAGGGTGGTGGGAGGCACTGCTGGAGCCTTTAGATTCTGCTTCTGAGTTTAAAGGCAAAGGAATGTTCTGTCTTCTGAAAAACCCAAATCCCCCCAAGCCAGTGCCTTAAGGCGGTCACTGCAAATCCAGGAGTCTTTGCTCCTGGTTCCTAGGCCAGCCTTGTTGTAAACCCACAGCCCTGGAAGAGCAGCCCAAACCTTCTCAGAGAGGTTTCCCTACCTCTAGTGATGCTGGGGTTGGAAAAGGGGACCAGGTCCTGTACTTGGTCTGGCTTGTTCTTATCCTCTTTGATGCAGTACAGAAATTTCCAGCACTTCAAAGAGCAAGTATTTATAATTATTTGGAAAATGGGATGGGGTTTTTTTTGGCCTTGTAGGAGGGAAATCTTTTAAATTAAATGATCATATTGTTACTCCTGGAAGATGGAAAATTTTTCATCTTCAACGTATTCAGGAGCCTTTTAAAACAAAATCATTTTTATTTATTGTGAACTCTTCCATTCCATAAAAACATAGTGAGTTTGGTCCAATTCATGGTAACATTGACAATTCTACTCCAAGGATTCTAGGGCTTTAGAACAGGCAAAAGAAAGAAAGAGGGAAGACAGAGAGAGAGAAGGAAAGATGCTGCACGGCTTTAAAAGTGCCCACAGTATAAAAAAATAGGATATAGAGAATACAGACTGGGGTTATGCTTGGGTTTTTATTGTTCTGTAATCCTGAGCAACATTGAGCTTAAAAGCTTTTTTTTTTTTAATCCAAGATTCCAGAGTTCAGCCAAGTTCCATAAACTAGACCAAGGAGGCAGCACTTGCACGCCGCCCCTTAGGAAAGCATGTGGGCTTAGGTCAGACGGCTCATTGAATTCTTATCGCGACTCTGCTCAGACTCTGGCCTCGCCTGCGGGCTCTTCACCCGGCTAAGTGACAATGCCAGTGCGCGGGTGAGGAGCAGGAAGAGCACAGCTGAGCGGGGTGAGCAGAGGGCTTGTGGGGTTGAGCGACTGTCAGGTGCGCTGGTCGGAATCTGCCTCCATCGTAGTGCTCTGTTCTTTGGGCTGATAACCTGAGGCTTACAGCTTGCTTTCACCCGTTTGCCTGCCATTCAACTGTGTAGCTAACATGTATTAGTTCCATGGTTTATCATAGAAATGAGCAAATCAGTTCAAATGTCAAGTTATACAGTATTTTTAAGGGGTTCTGGTAAAAATCTAGATGTTTTTAGCATTCAGTTCCGCTCATCCATCGTGTATTTTGTGTCGTTTTGAAGCTGCCTTGGATCAAAGTTGGTTTTCTTTTTACAGCATTTTTTGTCCTCAAGAAAACACTGAAGAAGCCCTGTTGTTACTGCTGATTAGTGAATCAATGGTGAGTGGAATGTGGTTTTCCGTCATTCCTTCCTCTGTCCCTGTTGTCCAGGGTTGGCTGAGTGGTGGGGGAAAGCAGGAGAGCTTTAAAATGAGAGAGGTTTGCTAATTCTTGGACAAGCCAGCAACATCCCTTGGTCAGCTTGGAGCTTCTCTTCCCTTAGCAACTAAGGTACCTTACTTCCTTTGTCCATCAAGTATCGACGGACTGCTAACATGATTGCGTGTCAGTGGACTGCAGCTAAATGTCCATCCAGGGGGTGACTTTGCCCCGAAGGGAGGGAGAACTGGGAGCCGCGTACTTGCAGGGGTGAGTATATGAGCCTCTGGTCCTTGTGGCAGAATCCTGGTGAGACAGCCAGTCGTCTCCCGAGCTCCCACCTGTTCCCAGGCTGTGCGCAGTCCCTGTGTGGGAGAGCTCCCTCCTGCTACCTGGCTCTGCAGCTGCTTGGTCAGTGTCACACGTTCTCACCTGACTGACATGAGGAAGTAGAGGGGACAGGACAGAAATTTAGTTTCAGCCCTGCCCTGTGCATTAGCAGATGCAGCCTTTTCTAAAAAGTCTACTGAGGTCTGCAAACCACATGGTGTCTGAATCCTTCTGGAAGCCATACCTCCATGAAATCCAGGGAATAGACCATTTGCAGAATAGAACTGGACCAGAAAACCAAAGATCAGAACCAGAGAAACACATGGGTCCTGAGGAAGTCTAGGCCAGGGGTGTCGGCAGAGCCAGTGTGGAGGCTCCTGCCCGACTGCTGCGGAAGCGTGCTGGTGAGCATCGCTGTCCTTGGAATCCTTTCTCACGTGTTTCTTTGGGAAAATGGCGACATTGGCTGGGACGTGAGAGAGTTTGGTCCAGACCATCAGATTCCTTTGAAGCATTTTTTAAATGTTTGACCAGGATATCAAAATTTGTTTCTAAAATTGCATTACTCATCATGTACTGGGTGTTTGGCACTAGGCATCACGGCCCTGGCTGGAAGCCTGCAGCAGTGAGGTCCGCTGTAGTAATTAGCACCTTAGCAGGAGGAGGATATGTGCTGAGCACCTGAGCTGGGATTCAGAAGGACCCGGAGTTGGGGGGAGCTAGGTGCATTCCTTCCTTTTCCAGGTGAGGAGCCTGGGGCCCAGTGCAGGGCCCACCTCTTTCACCCCACCAGGCAGGCAGGAGAGAAAAAGATTCATAACCCCCTTTGCCTCCTCAGACACACAGTTAAGTTGGAGGTGTGAAAAAGACCTCAACATGGATCGCAGGAAGAAGGGCCGCGTGCTGTGAGCAGGGGACCAGAGGGGCCGGGATCCAACAGGGAGGGTAGCTTGCTCACCTCTGCTTGAAACTTAAAATCCAAGAAATGGCTTGGAGATGTTTACAAGAGCCAGGGCACTCGAGTTACTGCTGCTTCTTATTTGGAAGCCGTTTGACGTCATTGGGCTCACTTCCTCTCCAGGAAACAGGTTGCCCCCTTGGCTCATCTTTCCACGTCAGCTGCTAACTGAGGATGGTGTCGTTTACGTTCTTCTCCGCCTGGGCATCCAGGTGGCCAGGCTGGCCCTCAGTGGCACTCAGTTCCTGCTTTTCAAGTGAGCAAGTCTCACCCTGCGTTGCCACCAACTTGTCAAAGGGGGCCAGCTCATGGTGGCCTCCCCGCAGACAGCCCCTTGTCCCAAGCTGGACTTTTCACAGCTTGGCAGGTGGTTTCCTGTGGACAAACGTTGGTTATAGAGCAAAATTCTGGGAGTGATGACCACACATTTTTAGATTACTTGGACAACTGCGATTGAACATGTTGTGTTCTGCCATCAGATCACATGATCCAGTGTGGAATTTGGAAAATATGGCCACATCTCTAAAATACCCCTCTCCGTGTGGCGTGAATGTCTTTGGAATGCTACTGCCACCTCGCCTGTCCTTAACTGAAGTGCTAGACACTGACAATCCTCAAAGGTTGAGATCCCTGGAAGACATTCTGGTTTGGCTCTGTGGTATTTAGTTCCAGAAGAACCTCTTCGGGGGATGGTGACACCCAGTGGCATCATCAGTGAATATGAGGGACCAGGTTTCCAGCCACGATGGCTGTGTCCCTCATGGATGTCATTCCATAATCATGGAGGCAGAAATCTAACCCAGTGACCCATGGCAGCCTTTTTGAAAATTATCCTTGGACTGATTTTTCTGAGACAGAAAATGACTGCTTGACATTGCGTGTGTTTTGGGATGTCTGAGAAGAGGGTATTCTTCACTCGTTCTGATGTCACCTTAGAAACATAAACTTGTCCAGTCGGTCCACCTGCAAGAAATCATGCGGAGTTGTGTGCACTGCTTTCCCACCACACATGAAAGTGCTTTTTCCCAGGAGAGGGAGCGCCAGAATTATATTTGCACACCTACCGCCCAGACGATTTCCTGGGATATTCGCTGCTTGTGGGTCTGTTTCAGGTGCTATATTATATTTTTTAACCAAAAGAGACTCATACTTTCTCTAATAAAAATAATTTAAAAAGGAATACATTTAGTGCAACTCGAAAATCTCTCCTAAATAGTATTTTGGGTATTTGTTGTTGTTCTCTTCCAGGCATTGGTCTCAGTGTGAACAGTTATAGCAAATTAAAAAAATGAGACTTTTTTTAAAAAGTGTATTTATTTACTTGAAAGTCAGAGTTTTGAAGAGAGACAGAGAAACAGAGATCTTTCATTGCTAGTTCACTCCCCAGATGGCCACAATGGCCAGGGCTGGGCCAGGCCACAATCAGAAGCCTGGAGCTTCATCTGGATCTCCCATGTGGGTGGCAGGGGCCCAAACACTTGGCCCAACCTTTGCTGTTTCTCCCAGGCCATTAGCAGGGACCTGGATTGGAAGTGGAGCAGCTGGAACATGAACCGGCACCCATATGAGATGCCCATACCTGCTTGCCACTACGCCGGCCCCATAACGAGACCATTTACAGAAAGCTCTGTTTCCTTCAATGCTTCTTTTGTTGGGCTCCAAAGACACTCAACAAGAAAACTTAGAATGAAATCTTCCAAAGCAGCCTCGTTTCCCTGAGATGATGCACTTTGCAGGAAGTGGCCTGTCTAAAATATTCTCATTTGTCTTTGACATTTAAGAGCAAGGAGTTTTAGAGTAAGTGAGTACTGACGGGTGACTAAAGGCAAATGCCTTGGACTCACACACACAGAAAGCACTATTAGCGAGAGGGGGAGTGTGTATGCATGTGGCCTTTCCCGGCGTCGGGCGGGAAGGTGGACGAGTGACCCTGGAACCTCGTGGGCCACATTCACAGGAAAGCCAGAGGGACCACTGCTCTGCTCCTGGGACAGATGGGTCTGGAGTCATGTGTTAGTTAGCAGGGAGGAAAAGGCAGGCGAAATCAGGTGTGGATGCTGAACTCTGCTCGCGCGGCGTCCCTAACGCACATGCTGTGTCTGGGGAGTCGGCAGAGACACTGAGTCTCAGAAGTGATGAAAACAAGCTGCAGTCAGGAGCCCCTGGTGTCTGGGTAGATGGGATTCAGCAGCTCGGATCAGCCTGATGCCCTTCCGTGGTAAGCAGTAGAGATGGGAAATCAGCAAGGTGCTCTCTGGGGCCCTCAGGGGTTAACATTCAGACAACCCGCTTGCTTCTGGCTTTCTCTGCACTTCCCTGAACGAGATGGATTTGGCCTCTGTGGCTTGTCCTACTGACGATGTCACATGGGGACCTTAGCGTTGCTTGGGGAGAGAGCAGAAGAGTGCTGTGTCTCTGAGTTACCACAGGTGATGGGAAGTCCGTGGTGGGGGATTTCCCCCGCTCTCTGACAGGGAGTAGGAGCAGGACCACAAGACAGGTGCAGCAGAGCCTCAGACGACAGATGCCCAGAGTGCCGCATGAACCCCAGCCCAGAGAACTTTCCCTCTTTTCTCAGCTCCTGAAGCTTCCTCCATACACCTGCCAACAGGTCTCACCTCCGGGACCTCCATGTTTGGATCACACCACCTGCCCTGGGCTATAGTGGTTGGGGGATTTTAGATAAATGACCCAAGGTGCCAGGTTCTGTAGTCCCTCCTGCCCTAGTCTCCTGCCCCTCAGCAAACTGGCTGGGGCAGGAGGGCCCAGGCAGGGCTGCAGGCATGGGCTGGCTCACCACCTGCTTCCCTCTTCCCCTTTGTTTCCAGGCCAACCGGGACGCTGTGCTGAGCAGGATCCCCGAGCACAAGAGCGACCGCCTCATCAGCCTGCAGAGCGCGTCTGTGGTCTATGACTTACTGACCATTGCTCTGGGAAGAAGAGGCCAGTATGAGATGCTGTCGGAGGTACAGCCGCTGCGTCCGTGTGGCTTCCGGGGCTGGCTGGGGGCAGGAGGGAGTGGCTGGGGGCAGCGGCAGGTTGAACTTGGCAAAGAGCTACATGACCTGGCCCTGTGCCCCCTCCATCACTGGCAGCCACGTGACCTTGGGCCAGTCATTTCATTTTGGCAAAAGGGGAATTGAGCTAAATGACTGGGTAGAGGGGTTGACGAGTGGTCTCTTACTGCACGTGGTCCGTGAGGCCCCAGGCTGTGAGTCCGTGTGTGAGCAAAGGCAGGCATGTCTCAAGCCCCTTCTCTTTCAGGGTAACGTCCATGCAGGCAGAGCCTCCCAGCTGTGATGTTAAGGTCCTTCTACAACAGGGCCCGTCTGCGGTATCAGTGCGTGACTCCTGGAGACCTGGCAGCCTCAGGCAGGGTGGATCGTCAGGCTGTTAGAGCTAGAATTAGTCCTATGAGCTGGAATTAGAGACGAGCAGCTTTCACTGGTTCAGAAGGGGCCCTGGTAGACTCCAGACTCTCTGGTCTTCTCATTCCCTCAGCTTCTGAGAAACACTGAGAACGGAAGCTTGCCTGTCGCCTGCTTTCAGAAGAAGCTGCTTCATCTCAGGCTGCGGTGGTGCTGTATTATTGAGTCGCTGCCCAGAATGACAAATTCCACCATGGGAGGGCTAAATAAACAACGAGATCATTTCATCTTTCCTTTGGCAGAATAAAAAGATTGAGGTTAGAGAGAGCGCTTATTTGGTTAAAACGAACGTTTCTATGTGATTTATCTTTCTCTTTCTAAATTTATACCCATTGCAACAGCCCCTGGGCACGAGGACAGGGAACAAAATGCGGTCACAGACTGGCTGAAATCAGATAAGTGCCCGGCTGCCTGCCTGCCGGTGCCTCTGCACGTTGGGCAGGAACCTTGGGGAACAGATGAGCCTGTGTGGCCGCGTCTGTTTTTAGTCTTTGGTTTGGTGACTCTGCAGGGCAGTGGTTACTCAGCCTTCAAAACAGCCCCTCACGCCCCCGCTGTGTAAAGCCACACCAGATGCCACCCCCACCCCTGTATCTTTGGCAGGTGCGCCGGGATCAGGGGTGGTCTGGGCTGTTCATGGCTGAGTAGTTCGAGCCCTGTCCAGGTGCCTTCTCCCCTGGACCTGTCTTCCCTACCAGCTTAGTTGCTGTCAGTCAGCTGTGTCCAGTGGGTCGACTGGGGACGGTTGTGGGGACAGTGCCACCCAGCTTGCAGTCCCGTTCTTTTGAGGTAAACTTCTTGCCTCCAGACAAACCACTTGCCACCCACCCTGGGCCCAAGGCTGAGGAGGGTTGTGTCTCTGCTCTCCCCAGCTTGAAAGTTGCCTGTGTCCTGAACAGGTGCAAGGAGCCCTGGGTGGCCGGCTCGGTTGACAGGCTGGATGCCCCCGCCCTGGGCTTCTCGTCATTCCTTGAATGGCTCCAGGGGGACGGCTGTCACCTCAGCACCATTCCTCTGCCAGCCGGCAGCCCGGTGGCATGTGCCTCCTCCCGGCCCAGAATACCCAGGCCTTGTTTTCACCCAGATGGCTTTCATCCCCATATCCCTTGTGGCGGTGCCCTAACGCTTGCACCTCCGGATGGTCTGGTCGCCTGGGGCCTTGCAGCTCAAACTTTCACCCTGCAAGCCACATTTAAAATGGTAGAGACAGGGCTGGCGCCGTGGCTTACTTGGTTAATCCTCCGCCTGCAGCACCAGCATCCTATGTGGGCGCCAGGTTCTAGTCCCAGCTGCTCCTCTTCCAGTCCAGCTCTCTGCTGTGGCCCGGGAAGGCAGTGGAGGATGGCCCAAGTGCTTGGGCCCCTGCACCCACATGGGAGACTGGGAAGAAGGACCTGTCTCCTGGCTTTGGATCGGTGCAGTGCCAGCCACGGCGGCCATTTGGGGAGTGAACCAATGGAAGGAAAACTTTTCTGTCTCTCTCTCTCACTGTCTGTAACTCTACCTGTCAAATAAATAAATAAATCTTTTTAAAAAAATGGTAGAGACTGAGCCAAAGCTTAGACAGATGGGGGACAGGGAGACATACCATGGAGTATCTCTTGGAGCCCCTTGGGTTTTTGTATCATATCTGTGTGTTATCTATTAAAATACAAGCCAAGTTATCAGATATATCAAGTGGTGGAGAGCATTTACTTCCTGAGCGCCTGCAGATGCTGTCACATGCTTCATGCCAGGGGCCGTAACGAAGGCCAGGGAAGCAGCCATGAGCCAGGCGTGGCCCCTGCCACGGGGACCTGGGCCCAGGGAGGGCACAGCGCAGGCCGGGCGTCTGGCAGCTTCAGCTCCCCTGCTCTGTCTCCTCGGGCAGTTGAGCTTCCCCCAGCAGACATCTGACACCCATGCTGTCTCAGATGTGGCTCGAGAGAGACGCAGGCTCGCAGGGTCTTGAGGCCGCCTGGGCCATCCCCGGGTAGCTCAGTTCCTGGACACTGGGCCCGGCCCACCCTCTGCTGAGTGTGGCCTGCTCCCCCTTGCTCCCGGGCCACATGTGGGTCCTACTTTCCTTGTGTCCTCCGAGACTGGCCTTTTCTTGAATCCATTCAACCGTGTTTTCCTCATCTGCCCTTGTATTCTGGACTCTACATGAAGACTTGTACACTTGGATTTGTTTTTAATTGAGGTAAAATTCATGTAATAACATCTTAAAGTATATAATTTGGTGGCACTTGCTACATGCACACTGTTGTGCAGCTGTCCTATCTAATCGCGAAGGTTTCTATCACTGCCCAAGGAGACCCCGTGCTGTCACCCCCACCCTCACACCCCCACCTCTTGAAGGTTTCTATCACTGCCCAAGGAGACCCCGTGCTGTCACCCCCACCCTCACACCCCCTCCTCTTGAAGGTTTCTATCACTGCCCAAGGAGACCCCAGTGCTGTCACCCCCACCCTCACACCCCACTCCTCTGAAGGTTTCTATCACTGCCCAAGGAGACCCCGTGCTGTCACCCCCACCCTCACACCCCCTCCTCTTGAAGGTTTCTATCACTGCCCAAGGAGACCCCGTGCTGTCACCCCCACCCTCACACCCCCTCCTCTTGAAGGTTTCTATCACTGCCCAAGGAGACCCCGTGCTGTCACCCCCACCCTCACACCCCCACTTCTCGAAGGTTTCTATCACTGCCCAAGGAGACCCCGTGCTGTCACCCCCACCCCCACCCCCCCACCTCTGTTGACTGCTGCTCTCCGTGGGCCCCACCAGCGGTTGCTGTCGCTGTCATTCGGCGCCGCGGTGTATTATGGCTTCCGGTCTTCACCTCCCGTGCCGTCCCGAGGGTGATCTTTCCCAAGCCGGGAATGAGTACATCACCCTTCCATGCCGAAGCACTCCGTGGCTCCTCCTTCTTTGCTTTCTCTTTAATTTGTGTTCTTTCCTTTTCCTCTCCTAATGGAACCAACTTCATCGTTTACCTTTCTGCCACAGGCAGCAGCCGTGCGTGCTGCTCGAGGAATCGGAGAATCGGATGGCGACAGCAAGCAGGCGCGCGTCGCTTGGAACCCAGCTGTCCTCATGGTTCTCCCATGTCTTCCGCAATGGCGCATGCGCATTCTGTGCATTTCAGGAAGGCTTTCCACGCTTTCAGTTGCCCACAGCCAACCACGGCCTAAAAATATTAGGTGGAAAATTCCAGAAGTTGAGTGTCATTCTGGGTGGTGTGATGAAGTCTCATGCCGTCCCACCTAGGCCGTGAATCACCTGTTTGCCCGGCGTGCCCATGCTGCATACCCTGCCCACCTGTAGTCATTCAGTAGCCATCTGGGGTATCAGATCCTATTTCGGAGCTTGTGTGCAGGTGGCCCTTATTTAACTTCCTAACAGCCCCAGAGCACAAGAGCAGTGGTGCACAGGAGGCACTGGGGCACACCCAGGGAAGGACATCAGCTCCGGTGCTGGGGGGGAACGCCGCAGGGCATGTAGGGAACACCTGGCTAAGTACAGGGTTTGGTACTGTCTGTGTTTGCAAACATCCATGGGGGTCTTAGAACATATCTCCCAAAGGTAGGTGGGAGAGACGCCCTTCCTCTTCCAGTTTGCAGAGGTAGGTAGACAGTAGGCCTGAGGGACAGGGAACCCAGGGCTCACTCTCGGGAACCTTAGGGGGAGGAGGAGTTGGAGAGAAAGGCTGGGGCCAGACTGCTGAGTACCTGGCCTGGCTTCAGGCTGTGCTTGCGCCCCTGCTGCTGGGACCCAGCCACGTCACCTGGCGGGTGGCCTGGGAGCGGGTCCTGTTTGCCTCGGAAACATTGCGTAGATGTCACTTGATGCAGGTGAAACTTCCCATGGAACACCCACAGGGCTCACCCCGTCCTGGCCCCTTCCTTCCTTCCTTCCTTCCTTCCTTCCTTCCTTCCTTCCTTCCTTCTCGTGTCCCCACCCACCATCCACACCTCCACTGCAAGACACAACATGTTTTCCTTCTCCCTGGCTCCTCTCCCTGGCTGGCCTGGGCCCATAGGCCCCAGAAAGGGAAGCGGGGTGCCTCTGCTGCGCCTGCCAGCACGCCTTCTTTCCTGCTGTCCTCGGAGCCCTGAGCACGGGGCAGACCCAGCCCTTGAAGACCTGGTCCTCCCTCTGCCACCTTCCTGCCTGCTCATTCAAGACCGGGGCTGCTTTCCCATCTCAGGCCTGGCTGCCGTGCTGTCTGCACACATCACGTCTTCCGTCTCTTCAGGGCAGATACCGGGTTGTACAGAGGAGACGCAACCCCAAAGCCCACAGCCTTGTCCTGACAGGTTTAAATATAAGCACGATGTTTACCATATCTCCAGTGCTAGTTTTCATGGTTTTTGGCTTTTTTTTTTTTTTTAAAGACTAATTGTGAGCCCTGCTGAAAGGTTTGTGTAGGAAGGAGCACTTCTTTTTTTCCCCTTCAATTTAAACAGCAGCCCTGGTTGCCATGACAACCCGCGCTATTAAAAGTGAAGCAGCCAGTGCTTCTTCCTCTCTTTTTCAGAATGAACCCGGGCTGCCGAGGG